AGATATGATCAAGATGTATAAATGGAAGTCAGGGCTAACAAAGGTACTTAAACTATCCAACTAGGAGCGAACTAATAGCATTGGTTTTAAATTAGACAAATTTAGATTTAGGTTTATATTGTTGATATTCCGCCTAATTCTAGAATTTGAGTCATACCTACAAAGTATTATTAAATATAATTTCAAGGCTTCGAATAAGGACGGCAATGTGTCTTCCAATGTTGCAGTGTAAGGTGAATCATGGTATCGTGATTCATTAATTACCATTAAAATGAAGAAATAATAATGAGATGCATTCCAAAGTGTGACTTTTTCATATCTTTTGTGTGACTTTTTACCCTCTTTACTCCCAAACAATAAAATTGATGAAATATGCAAACTATATTCTTCAAATAATGTTTATGAATGCACCTTATACAATATAAATGAATAATAAAATAGTCACACAAGAGGAGATGGAACACCATTGTTTTCGTTAGTACTGTACAGTATTTACGGCTGGGAGTTCGGGACGATGGTTCGACACAAGAAACTAGAGAAAATAAGACCCTGGTTGTAGCTGTAGTAATGTTAATGTAAAAAATGAATACCTGTATACAGTATAAGCTTTAAGTACAGTAATGTTAATAAATGGAACACTGTAAGTAGCTAACCACTAATGGTAAAGAAATAAAGCGAGATGATTGGGAACGCCAACGTATGTAAGTGCGTACATGTGAGAACATATCGTCATTTCTCTACATAAGAATATGAAAGCAACACTTATTTACTGTTCATATAAGTTTTAAATAATACTTACAAACGTAAAACAAAAATTCTACTCACGAATGGTGGTATATACTAAAACATAAGGACAGCCAATGATGTTGTGTGAGCATTATTCAGATGACGAAGTCATTAGGTTTATCTCTGGCTGAATAATAAAGCTATCGAAAGAACCTTGCACAGCTGCTTTCTTTTCTGATTATACATCTTTTGTAGAGGTCATTTGCATTTTTTATGTCCCTGTTAATTTTAATGCTTCTTTCTGTTAACGGATCCACTTCAGAAAATATGTTCATTGCTTGTTCCATGCACTTCGGCACCTCAACTACCCTGAGAGATTGGAGCACCTGAACTTGCCTAGCTTATACTACAGACGGGCAAGGGGTGACCTAATTGAGGTGCATAAGCATCTCAAGGGGCACTACCCACACAGGGTCACAGCTCAAGATTGAAAAAGGCACAAGTCCAGAAAACTGTGAGGGCAAACTTTTTCGGAGTGAGAGTTGTTAACTCTTGGAACAATATACCAGAGTGTTGTGATGGCACTGAGTGTGAGCTCTTTCGAGACCAGACTTAACCAACACTGGAGCCGGTACATGCCCAGTACTTGCCAACAGTGCGTGACAGAGACATGACCATCTACAAAGCAGCTAACGAACCAATCAGTGGTGAAGAGGATAAAAGAGAAAGATATAATATCCACAGACCTCTCACCCTTTTCCTATTGTTTTAACACATCTAGTTTCTCGTCTAAGCTTATACACTTTCTTTTCGCTTTTGAACCAGCACTACCATCACTTGCTCTCTTGCTCATGTTGAATAGGGACTCAAAAAATGCCGTAAGAAATCTGAGAATGTTTTTCTCCTTTTCCTGTTCAAATGCATGAAAACAAAGGGCCTGCCAGCTGCGACTGTTTATGCTGGCGTCACCACTCACAAGCCCGGCAGCCTCTGTGCGCAAGGCGTGGTTTTTTTAAATACATATCAGGATTTAGTTATCATTTATATAAAAATGCAATTTTACTTTATTTTTTATGATATTTTCATCGTAAATATGAAGAAAATAATATTGTAAATTGAATTGGGTCCTAAATTAACCAGGGTCTTAAATATGAACCATCGTTATCGGAGACTTTCCTGTACTGTAGAATTTTTTTTAGAATGGACACGAGTTATCTGAAGATCAATATGAATTTAGAAAAGGAAAAGGAACTAGAGCAATTGTATTTAGTTTGAAATTTTTTAGTAAAACGGCTTTAGGGTTGATTTTGAAAAAGCATCTGATTGGGAAATACACAATAAACTTATTTTTACCTTTATCCTCTTCGCTAGTGACCGGTTCGTTAGCCGCTTGTGTGGTAATTCACGTCTCTGTTATGCACTGGCTCCTGAACTTGCCTAGCTTATACTACAGACGGGCAAGGGGCGACCTAACTGAGGTGTGTACCGAGTAAGCATCTGAAGGGGCACTACTTAATCGAATGTCCTTACTTGGAGATGGCGGACGCTCGCCCCACAAGGGGTCACAGCTTAAGATTGAAGAAGCCACAAGTCCAGAAAACTGGGAGGGCTAACCTTTTCAGAGTGAGAGTTGTGAACTCTTGGAACAATCTGCCAGAAAGTGTTGTGACGGCAGCGAGAGTAAGCTCTTTCAAGACAAGACTTGACCAACACTGGAGCGGGTTCAGGTACATTCAGGAGCCGGTGCATGCTCAGTACCTGCCAATAGTTCGTAACAGAGACGTGACCGATCACCCAAGCGGCTAACGAGCCGATCAGTGGTGAAGAGGATAAAAGTAAAAGTAAAAAGAAAATTTTTATGTATTTGAGAAGTACTGTACAGTATAATTACCGTAACTGTGTTGGTAAATGTACAGAAGAAATCAAAACAAGAATAAGTCAACCAAATATATATTTTTAATCTAAGAGACCCCCCCCCCAAAAAAGGGGGGGGGGCACTAACTTCAATTTGAGAAAAAAGCTACTGAAATGTTATACACTATATGGTCAAGACTGTACAGTAGTTTATGTCAAAAGCATGGGGACTTACAGCAGACACCAGAAAAAGGTTCGAGGCCTTTTGAATGTTGTTTAATAAGAGAATGTAGACAAGAAAACAAATGAAGTACAGTACAGGTACTAAGATTGGGAAAAACGTCGAGAGAAATAATTGAAATTTAGAGAGAAAGTAAAATGCAAAACTTTGGTTATATAACTTGGGATGAGGCAATAATGGCAGAAATATTAATGAGCAAGGCTGAAGGTAGGAGGGATAGGGGAAGACAGAGATTACAATGCACGATAAGAAATAAAAATCTGGGTCACCAGAGAGATGCAAAATCTCGGAAGATTTGAAAACCAATCCAAAAACGTTTAGTGGAGGACTGTGGTTACCAACCGTCAGATATGAGGAGGGCACTTTTGAATGACTGATTGAATTGATGAGGAACAGAGTAACAAATAAAGAGATTCTGCATAAAAACACACTAATAATAACAATAATAATAGAGCTTTATTGTTTCAAGCCTTTTAATCAGTAGAAAAATATTTCCTGTGTATATAATAAATTACCACTGGTTATTATGATGAACAAATAACAATCTTCCTCCTTGGCATAAACACAAATTCAAAGATATTTGACAGTTGAACAAAAATATAATTTTCACCATAATAGAATCTAATTATACACATCATAATCACTTCTCAGACTAATATAATGGTAATTTGACATATAAGTGGTCACCTAGCATAACATCATCACGTGCGGACATAACAAAAACTTATGAAAAATGTTACTTAAAAAATCAACATACTGCATAGTACTGTACTGAACAAGCATAATATCTATTACATCACAATTAGTGACCAAAATAGTAAAAAGCAAACTTTATACTGCACCTCTTCTCGAGATGATGAGAAAAGAACAGTAGATAAGGCAAGTACTGTATTGGCTGCAACTCATTCTTTAACTACTGTACTCTGCATTATAACAAAAAATTAAACCCAAACTCTGCTTCTTGTCATAGAAAATGTAAATAAAACAAGAGAAGTACAGCATATCTCAGCTGCACATAACTTCCTTTCTTTGTTTTTTCTCAAAACTGAAGGTTTATATGATGTCAAAAAATAAATGTCAAAGAAATGGAAGTTATAAGTACTGCAAATCAAATTATTGGTTGTAATTAACGACTAATTTTTTCTAAATTATCAAAACTGAAACTGTCTCCTGTCATAGAAATGATGATGCTGCTGGCTAAAATGTTCTTTCCTTAACCTTAAAAGTAATGGAAATAAGTCAAATACTGTTTGTGCATTAATAGGAAATAGGATTTTGGGGGCAGGGGACAGAAATTGTAAAAATTAGTAAATATTGTAAAGTATAATATAGACATTTATTCCTGAACACCCCAGATTTTATCATCGGAAAAGATTTAATTCTCCAATTAAAAAAAAAAAAAAAAAGGACTAATATGAAAAGGGAAAACCAATTTACAAATTCCTAAAGAAAACTTTCCACTATTTTCTTGGGAACAAATAAAAAATACAGTACAGGGTATCGTAATTTTCTTAACTTACATGAAAGTTTACTGTGCAAAAGCTGTAAAATGGTAAACCTGTAATTGATAGACAATAATAAGAAAATAAAAAACCAATAAAAATTTCTTTGGTTTTTCATGAAATAAATCCAAAGACTTTCTTTCACATTGAAGATGACCTGGGTATGGCAAAGAAGAAATGAAGGAAGGTGAAATCATGTAGACATTGAAAGTGTTGTGACGGCACCGAGTGTGAGCTCTTTCAAGACAAGACTTGACCAACACTGGAGCGGGTTCAGGTACATTTAGGAGCCGGTGCATGCCCAGTCCTTGCCAACAGTGCGTGACCGATCGCCCGGGCAGCTAGCGAGCCGAACTTTTGGTGAAGAGGATAAAAGAAAAGGAAAAGTAATCAGAGACATGACCGATCGCCCAAGCGGCTAATGAGCCTATCAGTGGTGAAGAGGATAAAAGTAAGTACTGTACAGTATAATACTGTACTGTACAATACTCTATACCTGTACAAAGACACTCCCTGGAACCTTCATCACTATCCTAATCATCTAAGTGCATCTTGATGTCATTTCTTAATCCTGATACATCATCAACCAACTGTTTCCTTTCCTTCATCTTTATGAGTCTGATCTTAAAAAAAAAAAAAAATAATAATAAATAATAATAATAATAATAATACAGGTTTTTTCACCTAATCTTTTTTTTTTTTCAATAAAAATCACCAGGTCGGGGAATTGTTAACAAATTTTGTTTTGTTTTCGGCATTTCTCAAGTTGAAGCAAGCTTTAATGGCTGAAACAACATAGAATAGTTCTATTTGAAATTAAGAGGAACTTTCAACACAATATTTAAATCGTCAATTTACCAGTTAAACTGACAAATGACCAAACAAATTCGACAATGATGACCATGAATAGACACTTGTCATCCCAAGTGGATATTTCTCCATACTAATGACTTTATTATTTTTTTATAAACTGCTATTGGCTTCAAGGATGAATAAAGTGATTAATGTGTTGTAGTAAAATTTGCACTCAAGTCATCTACGTACTGCACTTTGGTGATAATGAGTCTTAACTATGAATACTTTTTGTCAAAATCTTAAAGGTGGGTTACAATCTGTAGAACTGACCATTTTCTCTACAATATCTTGATGTACATAACATTCCAGAAACAGTAGTTTTATATGTGACATATCAAAAGATGGATAGAAAGATGAGTAAACAGACAGACAGACAGATGGATGGAGGGAGAGAGATAATATAATGTACAGATATAGATAGGGTAGGTTGATATACTGTCTAGATATAAATAGATAGGTAGATATATTTAATACAAATGCCTTACAACTTCATTAGTTATCATTATTCATTTAATTGTGCCTCTTAACACCTTCCTTTGTCTATTTTTAGTTAAATCAACTTACTATTTATCTTTCTATCCAACCACACTGTAACTTTACACCTCTGCTATGCACTGTTGGCAAGTACTGGGCAGGCACTGGCTCCTGAATGTATCTACCCATGCATCTTTCTATCTGTCCCTTCTATCTATCTAATAATAATAATACAGTAACTGAAACAATAATAATAATAATAATAATAAAAATAATAATAATAACTACAAATGGAGTTTAGAGGTGTACAAATTTTAATTTCCCTCGTAGGTTTAACGTATTGTACAGTGTATCCATTTGGGTGTTATGTTGTACTGTACATCATTTGCTGCTGTATTCTAACTCAGTAACTCAAGAGAAAAGAGAGTGTGAAATCTTGAATTCATCTCCATTAACAGATGTCTGTGACTCTCTCTTTTCATCATTTATGCTCGATATATTGCTCTTCTGATTACTTAAACTCTGTAAACTTTGCTGGGGAAAGGATGGACATTTCAAAATAACCTGTGGATTCACAGGCAAAGGATATTCCTCATTACATACCCTATCATTAGCTGGACTGTGTGAAAGGTGAGTACCCTTAGAATGTAGCAGTGCCTTCAACTCTTTAAAAGCATTTCCACATGTGGAAGGATTTTTCATAAGCTTGGTAAGAGTTGGTGATAATGATCCATTTATATCTGAATGTGTTTGGTACTGTTGATTAAAATGAGAAGAAATATGCTTTTGAGTCTCTTCCATGTGTTGAATGGGTAGTGGTGTATGTTGAATAGGCAATTGACTTGTCTGATGAGGATTGACAAACTGTTTTTTTTTGCCCATGTTTGTCTGTCTCCCCTCTATATTAAACTCACATCCAAGAACTCTTGCCATTTCAAAAAACACACCGATATAGCTATTCTCTCTATTAACAGGAAGTGGTGGAAAAGTGATTTTTATTGCACAGGTATTTCTCTTTGGTACTGTGACAACCTTCATATTAACATTTGTTGGTGCCATGGGTGAGAGCCGTTTAGGAAGGTCCCTTTGTGTTCTTAAGTAATATTTGTGTGAGACTCTTTTAGGAAGACCCTTTTTTGGTACCTTATACATAGAAGATCCTGAGCATTCCTCTGCTTTCTTAGTTATGTCACAAGTTTGTTTTTCCAATAACATTGGTTCACTTGTGGTATTTTCTACTCCCTTACAAGAGGAATTTTGAGATGATGCAATGTCTGAAGTAAACTTACGTTGACTGTGATTGCGTAGTGAACCTTCATTAACTTCCATATGTTGGGGGCTATTGGAGTGAACTGCTTTAGAACTTTCATTTTGAGGAGAAGAATTGCTGATACAATTTTCCTCTGAGGGATTATTTTCAGTGATTTTTGACACTAAATCACTATTGTCTTCCAGAGAGATTTTATGTACTGACACTGATGAATTCTTGAAGCAGGAGTCATCTGCTTTGCTATCTAAGATGAACTTATTTGGACAGGTAGAAAAGGTAGATGAATGTGGCTTGTCCTTGGTGTCTGATTCATCAGCCTCTGACGTCATCGTGGAGTCTAGGGGAGTATCTGCCAAACTTCTACATGGGCCTTTTGTCTCTGTTACACACTCTGTATCATGAGCTCTGTTGAGTGCAGTTTTATCTAAAGACTCAGATAAGTTTTGACGATTACCCTTTATTACACTTGAGCTTGCTTGTAAATTATCTTTTATAGTAATGACTTCACCACATATGTGAACAAAGTCCTTTGAATCTTCTGAAGCAGAATCAGTGCTATCTGATCTCTTACTTTCCTTGGTTCTTATGATGCCTTGTGAAGTCTTGACTTTGGTGCAATTATTATTCTCAACTGGGTTGGGTGGGATTAAAAAGACAGATACTGCATTCTTTGACCCCAAGCGTTGCTGCAACAAACTAATGGCACCATCTAAACCACTAGAAGTTCTTTTTGCTAATGGTTCCATGCTCCTTTCAATGAAGGGTATGTGTGAGCCAACTGGCCAACTGTCTTGACCTTCTTTATGCTGCACCACACAACTGCAACAAGAAATTTTACAATTATAAGTCTGCATAAAAAAAAAAAAAAATTATATATATATATATATATATATATATATATATATATATATATATATATATATATATATATATATATATATATATATATATATATATATATATATATATATATATATATATACTGTATATATATATATATATATATATATATATATATATATATATATATATATATACACAGTCAACCCTCGCTTTACGCGGTCCCACATTCCACGTTTACGCGGTACCCTGCCGAAACCGGAATGCTCACATTCCGCGGTGCGTGTACCCCTTTACGCGGAGAGCGGCTGGCGAGCCGCGCCATTTTTGGATCCAAACCTCCCGCCATCTCTCCCGCCATGTTGTGTAAGCGGCGCGAGCAGGGTGAGCACAAGGTCGCCCAGTCATCAAAACATTACCGAGTTCTTCACCCGCCACCCACCACAGCTGGCCCAAGTCAGTGATAGTGATAATTACAGTGAGGATATGGACTTATATGGACTTTGAGGGGTTTGACAAAGAGGCCCTGCAAGCCTCTGTGGTGGATAGTGATACAATTGATGCACGTGATACAGGTGAGGGCCAATAATCTGCCCTCTGCCTCGGAACCAACCCCCCATCCCCGTGTGCCCAGCCATCTTTTCTACTAATGTAAGTGTTAAAAAACCTAATATTATTGATATTTCTCTTAATTATTAATTGTGTGTGCATACCATCATAAAATTAAGAACTAATAGGTCTTATAAGAAGGTCATTCAGATAGCTAGACGGTCTGTGCCTCGTAATGATCTTCAAGAGTGAAGTACTGTCACCCTGTCGGATCCATGATATATGATGCTGTCAATTGATTGAAAATGTCCAAAGGAGGGCAACCAAACTGGTGCCTGCTCTACGGCACCTCAGCTACCCAGAGAGATTAGAATGCCTGCAACTGCCTAGCTATGCTACAGACAGTATACTATATATAATAGCAGGTGTCTTCAAGAGAGCTCAGGGTCTCAACTGACTCAGCCATGATAATATTGTTATTATTATCTACTCAGTATCTGTGTTTTTTCTAGCTAAATAAACTGTTTCAATATCAATACAGTGGTCCCTCGGTTAACGAGCACAATCCGTTCCAGCAGGTTGCTCGTTAACCGAAACCATTGTTTCAATGGGTTTTTGGGTAATTGGTTCCAGCTCACCGAAAATTGCCTAAATTCAACAAAAAAGGTAGAAAAGTACACTTACTTTGAGGTGTGTATGTAGAAGGCTCCTGGATGATGATGATGGGAATTAGAATGGGGGTGGAGGAGAAGGAAGAAGAGAAGGCATTGGGGTGGAAGAGAAGTCACCCCATGGCACCATTTCACCCATAAAATTTTAGTTCTCTTGGTGTATTTCAAGATTATTTTCTTTAAATCAACACTGCACTGCATTATATATTGTCAATATAAATAAAATATATTTCAAAATGACCAATAATTTGCTTGGAAACACAGAAAAAAAGCGTTTAGTTGAAGAGAGTCTCAAGCAAGATGTTACCTCCACTGAAAACAGAGAGAGACTAATGCCTGTCTGGTGTGTTAACAGGCTAGATGGTACACCAGAAACTAGTTTCTTTACCTTCAATTATGTTCAATAATTGTTAAAATGACTAAAAAAGTTAATATTAAACTTTTAAAATTATTGAATAGTATAAACTTCTTGATATTTACTAAAATAGTAAGGAATTTAAGCCCTAAAACCGATTACTGTATTGGCGGACTAATACTACAGCTGGTGGACCGCCAAATGCAAGCAAAAACATGTTGAAGTCGGCTCGTAAAAAACTCGTTAATCGAGGGATTGCTCGTTAACCGAAGTTAAGAATCTTATGGAAGGTAAATTGTTAACCGAAATCTCATTAACCGAGGCGCTCGTTAACCGAGGGACCACTGTATTACCATCAATGACTTACTTGTGAAATATCCTGAAACAAGACAGGGTTAAGCAGCATTGCCATAATAAATATTGGTGAGCGTACTTTCACAAACCAGGTAATTAGTTCTCAGATGCAACAGATTATTGACATACAGGTACTCTTCGACTTACAACCTACTCGACTTACGACCACCCGGACATACAACCGCCACAGTCGCATAAATTTATTTTCAAATTACGTAAGAATTTTCTAGTACCGAAACGTTGCCGTCCTGTACGACAGCGTGGAGTGGGCTGGGCCACCTCGTGGTGTACAGCATCCACGACGTAGACCGCTCAGTTGGTGTTAGTGATCGCACTATGTGCAGTACTGGAAAGTGTAAAAGTGAGAATTCTGGTGGTGCTCAAAAGAAAAAGAGACAGTTAATTAATTTTTGAGATGAAAATGAAAATAATAATGCAATATGAAAATGGAAAAACGATAGTAACCATTTCACGCGACTTTGGCTTCTCTCACTCAACGATATCAAAAATTTTGAAGGACAAGGCAGAGGCATTTGCTACTACAGGTATTAATAAGGGGATTCAAATGTTTGAAGAAATGGATCAAAGTGTTGAGCATTTTGCAAAAGTTGACACTGATCCAAGATGCACTTGCTTGCTACAGGGAGATTTACAATGAAAAGAAAATGCAAAGTGTGCAGTCTAAATTGGACATATATTTTTAGAAGTCCCCCACTGCTGTCTCCTCACACCCCACCACCGCTGTCTCTTCACTCCCTAAAGATGATCCAATACCTTCAACAAGCAAGTATGTTAGCCTGTCTGAAGAAAGCGAAATTGATGACCCACCCAGCCCTGTCTCCTCCTCTGCTTCATCCAATTAATGTAGTCTCTATGTTTAATTAAAAAAATATTGAGGCCTCGTGTGTATTCAGCTGACTACATTAAAGGTAAGTGCACAATAACACTTTATTCATTTTTCATTATTAATTACTTTTACTGTACCGTATTTCATTTTAGATTTTCTATGTATTATTTTCGCATTTTCAACTTACGACCAGTTCAACTTACGACCTGGTCGTCAGTCCCTAACCCTGTCGTAAGTCGAAGACTGACTGTATTTGGAAGGAGGAAAGGCAGAAATTTCTATTTATTTTTCTAGAATGGCCCATGGTATCAATTTCCTACAGTTCTATTGTTACCCAAACTTGTACAGTATATAAGCTTCACTTCACCTACCATTTGTTCATAGTGAAAATGATCATTAATATACAGTATATATATAAATATACAGGTAGTCCTCGACTTACGACTGACTCAACTTACGTCCATCCGCACTTACTACTTGCTCTGATCGTACGACCATCCGCACATACGACCGCAGCAGTCGTGACCAATTTTTTTTTCAAATGACGCGCGCATTTTCTATACCGAAACGTTTCCGTCCAGGGCAAGAGCGTGGCTGGCTTGGGTCACTGCGTGGGTACACTCACTCAGTACAGCGCTTAGTTGGTGTTTGGCTATCGTATCCTATACTGATCGCACTGTGTACTTACGATATTATCGTATTTAATTGACTTTATAATGACTGGAAAGCGTACAAGTGAGAGTACTGGTGGTGCTCAGAAGAAAAGGAGACAGGCAATTACCTTTGAGATGAAAATGAAGATAATAATGCAATTTGAGAATGGTAAAACTGTAGCAACAATCTCAAGTGACCTAGGTTTCTCGCACTCGACCATATCCACTATTCTGAAGGACAAGGAACGTATTCGTGAGGTAGTGAAAGGAACAACACCTATAAAGGGAACTATAATTTCGAAGAAAAGACAAGGTCCTATTCATGATATGGAAAAAATATTGGAGATATTGATAGAAGACCAGATACAGAAGCGTGTACCCTTAAGCCTTCAAACCATACAGGCTAAAGCAAGAAGCCTGTTCCAAAGCCTGAAGGAGCAGGCAGGAGATGAATGCGAGCAAACCTTTACAGCAAGTCTTGGGTGGTTTAACAGATTTAAAAAAATGCTACAATTTACATAATGTTAAGGTGAGTGGAGAGGCAGCTAGTGCTGATGTTGGTGCTGCCGAAGCTTTTAAGGAGGAGTTAGATGATGTGATTGTGGAAGGAAATTATTTGCATGAGCAAATATTCAATGTGGATGAGACTAGATTATTGTGGAAGCGCACGCCTGAGCGGACATACATCCACAAAGAGGCGAAAACAATGCCAGGATTCAAGGCATTCAAGGACAGAATTACACTTCTGTTGGGGGGGAATGTTGCTGGTTTCAAGCTAAAGTCCTTCATGGTCTATCATTCAGAGAACCCCACGGCTTTTAAACATGTCAGCAAGCACACACGGCCAGTGTTTTATTGCAGTAACAAGAAAGCCTGGATGACCATTGTACTGTTTGAGGATTGGTTCATGAATTGTTTCATTCCTCGAGCCAAGGAGTATTGTCTGCAACAACGGATTCCATTCAAGATTTTGCTGATTTTGGATAATGCTCCGGGACACCCACCACACCTGGACGACATGCACCCTGATGTTAAGGTAGTGTAAATTCCACCTAACACTACCTCTGTCATCCAACCCATGGATCAAGGTGCTATTGCTGCCTTTAAAGCGTATTATTTACGTACAACCTTCGCTCAGGCTGTTGCTGCTACTGAAGGTGAGAAAACGCTCAGAGAGTTTTGGAAGGAGTAACAACGTTTTGTCATGTATAAAGAACATTAGTGCAGCATGGGATCGGGTTACAAAACATTGCATGAATGGAATATGGAAGAAAGTCCTGAAAAGATATGTGAACAGTTTTGGAGGATTTAATGAAAATGAAGTTATTTCAGATATTAGTAACAAGATAGTGGAGTTAGGGTAACAGCTTCAGTTAGAAATTGATAATGAAGATGTTGAACAGTTGGTTGAAAGTGTAGCAGAAGAACTCAGTAACGAGGATCTCATCGAACTGGACACAAAGATGCAGAGGAAGAAGCCAGTCTAAATGTAGAAGAAGGACCTGCACCCCCTAAAAATTTTTCAGTGAAGCAAATGGCAGAGGCATTTG